GCGGGTGACTGGGTGGATGTGTGAGTCTCAGGGGGAGTGGAGGTGGCGAGGAGGTGTTGGTCCGGGTTGCGGGTGTGAGGGAGGGAGGGAAGAAGGGCGTCGGGGTGCCTGGGGCTCCTTGGGGGTCAGAGGGATGCCCGCCCTTGGGTCAGGAGGCGGTGATGCTTGCGGTGCTCGCGGGCGGCGGGAGGGGCAGCAGGAGGTGCCTGAGGCCGAGCAAAGTCTGTGAGGACCTCTTAGGTGACGAGTTCGTTCACCTTATTTAGTAAAGGGGGTAGAGTCCACTCAAGGGGCAGACTGGCAACTTTGTAGGTCTGTCATTTCGAAAAGAGAGGAAGATTTTTAGAAATCCATTCATTTTAAAGACGTTCCTTTGTAAAGTTATTATCTCACATGTACTGTACCATAATTACCTTTTCCTGCTTCATGCACTGGCCTTGCCAAGTAAAAATAACGTTTTTGGATTCTCTTCTAACCGAGTGAGCGCAAAGACACAATTATGCAACCATTGCACTAAGGGGCTAGAGAATTGAGTGATCGAGGGAAGAAATTTTTGCATATTGCCAGTATTGAATTAAATTTTGATTGATTATACCTTACAGCAAGTGCAGTACTAAAGTTTGACAGCCATATAGCAAACCCTGTGTAAAAATTGCGTGTAAGTATATGGATAAAGCACTTTTCTCTGAATCTGTTTCTTTAGATATTCTTATGGTTGATGTAATAAAAAATGAGGAAATATCCATGCAGAAATATAACAGAGAATTGTTTTTAAATGAACAAAAGCACTATTTAGAAAAGTGTATTTGGGGAATGTGCGCTGATCAAATGTTTTTGTTCATGCCAGAGAGCTGAAGTTCTATAAGGCCGTATGTGGTTTATTTCATTCAGATCTTGTACTTAAGTGGCATTATTTGTGATTTTAGGGTTGAGATATATCCTCTCTGGCTTCTCCGTATATATTTACTCTCCATTTACCTCACTGTGTACCTACCCCACCGTGCCTGGCCAAATTCCGGTAGAAGTTTAGTATAGGAAAACCACAGCCTTCACAGACCATATGTTGTGCTTATTTTATTTACATTGATGTGATTATAACATTTTTTTTTTCTTTCTTTTTTTCTCATTTCCATTATAACCCCTTTTTATTTGTCATAGCATCCGCTTATACTGTTCAGCACAATTTTAGGACGGATACCTAAGAAATATTTTTTGGCTGGAGGGGGGTATAGAAAATGACATCGTGTGCCCTTAATATCTTTTTATATAGAAAATCTAGCATAAAAAGATGTAAGACATGTCATGAAACTTACCAGATTTATAAACCCGTGTGCATAACAGTTGTGGATGTTTCCGTGCCTGTTGGCATTCCGGCAAATGACAAATAGCCTCCACGTATATTGGATTGCACCAACCTATCTATCCCTCCATCTATCTGTCTGTCTCTATCTACCTATCCATTTATCTGTCTGTCTTATCCATCCATTCATCCACCCTCCCATCCATCCACCCACCCACTCACCCACCCACTCACCTACCCTTCCATCCATCCATCCATCCATCCATCCATCCATCCATCCATCCATCCATCCATCCACCCATCCACCCACCCACCCACCCACCCACCCACCCACCCTCCCTCCCATCCAACCATCCATCCATCCATCCATCCATCCATCCATCCATCCATCCATCCATCCACCCTTTGATTCATCTCTGTCCATCTTTCAAATTCATCCTTTCACCCATCCATCTATCCATCTATCCATCTATCCTGCTACTTACCCACTCATTTATTCATAAATTCTTCCTTCATTCATCCTATCCACACAACAACTCATTCACGCACCCACCCACCCTCCTGTCCGTCCATCCACCTCAAGATCTATTCAGAATAAGCAATATATTTTCCTCATAACCCCCCCCCCCCCCTCCATTTCATCATCTGCAATTATCAGCAGTCTCCAGGTGCAATTGCTAATCCCCCCCCCCCCCCCGACCATTCTACTGTCAAATTACTGCTTATTAACTCATAAACCTGGCCAATTATGTAATAATATAATGTGGTATATAACATATGCAAGAAGGGGTGTGCCTGTCCCTTTCAAAACCACTGGTTCGGAGTGATAGTGTGTGGTTCCTGTGTTTCAGTGGGAAAGAATGGTGTTATGTGCCGTACTATGGGTTACTGAGTGACTTGTGCTTATGAATTTTGATATCGGTGTGAAAGGAATTGTGTCGGAAAGGCAGTGCATCTCTCAATTATATGTCATTTGTTATATTTTAAGTGGTATGACACTTGAGTAAAGGCAGGTAATGCTGGTAGCTTTTTTACTGTTTTTTATTTTCATTAAATTATTTATTTATTTATTTGTTTATTATTTTTATTAGACAAATTTAAAATGATTGTTAAAGGAAAATGAGTACTAACTCTCTTATTTTTTTATTTGCTTACAGATAAGTGTTTAGGTTTACCCAAACAAGCCAGATGCCAAAGATTGCAGAAATGTCGCACAGCAAGCAGCTCATAGACTTTTTAATGTATTTAATACTTTTAGGATCAACTATATTTGTTAATAAGGTAAGTTCTCCTGGTTTCTTTTTCTCTAATTGTAACTCTCCTGACAAAATAGTTGTTTCTTTCCGAATGTAATGTTGTTCATTTTTGCAAATGGTAATACGTTGTGAATTTTTTTTTTTTCTTTTTTTTTTTGTCATAAACAGCTTTTCAGTTTGCTTGAACTAGCTCATCATTTATTATTTTAGTATTTATAGTTTGACAAATCTAATACATTTACCATCTTCCATGTATTTGTCTCAGACTAACATTTTCTTTTTTTTTTCCGTGTGTGTATCTTTGCAGTATGTGCTATCAGTCTTAAACTTTACTTACCCTACGATCTTCCAAGGATGGCAGACGTTGGTGGGTGGTATTTTGTTGCGAATTCTTCTCTCAAACAAATGCCTCAGTGTGTCCTCCACAGACCTGGACAAAGCAGGGTTCATTTCTCTGTTGCCGTCATTTTTGTTCTTCTCGGCTGGTATTGTTGCAAGTTCGAAAGCTCTTGCAAACTTGGTGAGTTCCTATTGGTTATTTAGTTCATGGAAGCAACAGGGACATTTTGTTATCCTTTATCACATGTATATATTTTTAAAGCTTTTATAGTAAATAGATTTTGTTTAGATATATTTTATGTGTGTTTGTATGTATGTGTTTATGTGTGTATGTAGATGTATGTGTTTATGTGTGTATGTAGATGTATGTGTTTATGTGTGTATGTAGATAGATAGATAGACTGACCAACAGACAGACAGACAGACAGACAGACAGACAGACAGACAGACAGGTAGTAAATACATTGATGCATAGATACATAGATAACTAGAAAATTTATAAGACTGCATGTTATTTACATATGGATTGCTAAATTATATTCATAATTCAACAGGAAAAAGGCAGCTTTAGTTCTTGGAAATTTTCAATAGTTTTACTCAACTATTGAAATTTTCTTCAGATTTAAGATTTGTTTTCTCAGTGTAATCGTCTGTAGTCTTATAAACTGATTTTGTGCATTTTGATTCCTCTAGAATGCTCCTAGCTCTGAAATTCAGTTTAGTAAGGCAGAGGAGGTACACATTACCCAGATGATAGAGGGCCAGAAGGGATTTTATTCTGAATACAAACTTGAGTGATCTTGCTCTACAGTAATGTGTATGCAACTCATGTGTTATGTTTTATTTCTCAACAGCTTATGTGGTGTGTAAGATGTATTCATTTTACCACATGTTTTTTTTTTTTTCCTGTAATGATAACTAAACCTTTTATAAACATTGTTGTGGTGCTGACATATGTCTTACATTTCTTCTTGGTGTGTTTGTGTGGAGAATCCTACTTTCTTTATATAGTACAATTAAGATAAAAAAAAATAAAAGGAAGTGAAGTACATACTGTAAAGTAGGCCTTTTTTTATAAGTATTCTTCTTTTTCTTTTCTTTTCTTTTTCTTGCATATAGGAAATAGGGAGCATGATAATATGCGATTCAGTCCTGCGGTAGAGCATAACATGTGACATTTCTCACATAGAGTGTGCCAATGTTCCTCTGTCTGCAAAACACCCTGGGATCCATGCTGTACCTGATGGAGATAATACCAAGTGGAGGAGGCATGGTAGCTCTTGGGGCCAGTCTCATCACTATTGGAACAGCTGTGGCAGCTGTCCTGGCTGACATTGACATGACGGTAGGAGATTTTGCGTGATATGTTGTATGTAAACTTATGATGATGCTATATTTGTCTTTTTATTGTGGATTTTTTTTTTTCACTGTATCTTTTATTTATTATTTTTACCACTACTTTCTTATGTATGTTCTCCTTGACTACATGTCCAGAGGATTTGGTGTGAGAGAAGGATGATGCTTATCTAGAATAATATTACTTTGTATATTTACCAGTAAAGCTATAGAGTCTTGGGTACCTTTCATGTCTTAGATAACAAAATGCCATGTTGTGAAGAAAATTTGCTATGGTGATCACTGTGTGTTGAAGAGCTCATTGATGCCCGTGGTCAGTTGAAAGCATTTTATTATATCATCTTTATTGGAGGTAAAAAAATAATTGAGTCTGAAATGATTTGTGGACATCATAAATATAATGCTCTTATTTAGTATATCATGTCAGTAAGTCGCATATAATAAAGTGGACTACCTATTAATTAGATATTAGCGGTTTCAGAACTTTTCACCCATTCATGCCAGGGAGCATACACTATCCACTATGGTTTTGTCTAATGCTTTTTTTCCCTCCCTCTTGCTATTCCCTTCCCCTACCCCTCCCCATCCCCTCTCCCCTCCCTTCTCCCTCCTAGGTTTTTTTTTAAATTAATGTTTTGAATTTAGTTTTCAGATTCACCTTATTTCTGGATGATGGTGCATCTTGCATGTGTAGCAGTACAAACCCTTCATTCCAAGATTGCTGATGCTCGATACACGGCTGTTGACCGACTCTACTTTTCTTATGTGTTCAGGTTTGTATTTTTGTTGAAAGGATGAGAGAGTGAGGAGTATATGTCACTGATAATTTTCTTTTTATTATAGTTGCATGATTTCTGATATGATTTACTATATTGTAGTCATGAAACTCCATACCTTGTGGATTTACCAAGATTCCTTTCCCTCTTCAAGATTCATCACAATTGCCTGAGAGTAGCTTGATGTTTTCTTGATATAAGTTACAGCCTATTTCAAAATGCATAAAAGCTGTTCTCAGGAATGGATTTATTTTCTTTGACAGTGTTGTTGTGTTGGCGCCTGCATCACTGTACCTCGAGGAGGCTTTTGAAGTTCTGCGCTTCCCACATGCAGTACGTTACGATTTCTATGCAGGTTGCCTTTTCTCAGGAGTGTTGGGCCTATTCCTCAATCTCACATTGATGAAGGTAAGAAAATCTGATAGTTATATAGATAAATTAATAGATGAAGACCAAAAGATAGATAGACAGATGGATGGGTAGATACATAGATAGATAGATTAATAGATAGATAGATAATTTCAAGTATGGATAGATGAATTGACTGATAATTAGAGAGGTTAATAGATGTATATATAAATATATAGATATATAGATAAGAGCAGATGTACATATTCACTAGAAAATGAGGCAGAGGATTTTTTTCTTCTTCTTCTTTTTCTTATTATTTTCTTTCTTTCTTCTTTTAGTTTTTCTTTTTCCTTTTCTTCCCCTAAATAAAAAGGAAAACTTTACATGATTATATTATTCACCCATCTTTGCAGAAAGTGGTGTATGTCACACACTTTTGACTTTTAGTGTCATCACTTTATACTGATGCTTGTGTAAGGCTATGGAGTTCTTAGGCCAAGAGAGTTGTTAGGTCTCTTTGGTTCTGCATCTGTAAGAATTTTTACCAAACTCACCACAGTAAGAGTCAACAAATGGGTATATATAGCAGACCACTAAACAGACCATTTCCTCACTTCAGTAGGTCAGAATGAAGATAAGAGGTAGAAATTATAGGCTTCCTCACTCACACATTTATAGTCTCACAGGTCAGTCTGATGAAGACAGCCAGGAAGTGTCCAGAGTGTCCCAGCTCTTCCTTGGCTTCAGTCTGCACTGTCCACAGAAAGTCCTCTTCCCTGCATTCCTTCATTATCACATCAAGCCTTTTGCAATTTCACTGTCAGTTGCAGAACTTGAGCTTCAAGAATATTACATACCAAACACTTTTGTAAACAGAGAGATAAAGAATGACATGTCTGAGATTTTTAAAAGTGATACTGTGTATGAGGAAAGTAAGAAGTTTATATATGCCAACCACTTTAATCTTTCTTAACAGGTTAAGCGATATGCTCTCTTCTCCGTCGTCGATCCAGTTGGACGATTACTGACTTCTGTGCTGGCTCTAGCAACATTCCCTGTTGTGACTACTAGTATGGCCAACACCCTAGTGTGCATCAACCTAATATCTGCTGTGTTTGTGCCGGTCCCAGTCCCAAAGGACGGAGACGAAACGGAAGAAGCTGTGGGCCTGTTACGGGAAGGCGTTGGAAGCGTGACGAGGGTACAGTCGTGTTCGAGGGGCTGCTTTTGGATACTTTTGTTATACAATGGTTTTTATTTAGAATATAATAAAATAAATGAATTTTTTTAAGTGCTAATTTATTTTTAGAGTTTTCTCTTATATAGTCATATTTTACCAATTATTTAGATTTAATATCAATATGATATTTTTATATTATAGACATTGAAAATGTGCTGTGGTAATTTAATGCAACATAGGATGAAGACCGTGAAGCTAACATGTGAGCATATCATCTCATCTTTGTTAATGATCATTGCATCATCATCACCTAGTGATATGAAGCTTTATGTCTTCCTTTCTGTCTCTCTACCAAACTTTACATTTTGTGTGAATGCAGGAATATGGAAATAGGCTTGAGTTTGTCTGTGATTATGTATTGAATGGTTTAAGGGCCTAAAGTTTTGGATGAAATTTAGGAACTGGTGTATAAAACATGACAGTAATTCATGACGGTAATTTCCATTAACTTTACCGTGCTCTGTGAGAGCAATAATTCAATTGTCTGGTGCTGCAGGTGAAGGAATCTTATACAGATTCAATCATTACTACAAAGAAGTTTTCCAAGGATTTCAGTATAAGCCTCACTGGTGTCGAAATATAGATAATCAAATTTCATTAAGTATCTTATTTGTAGTAGGAAGTGAATTATTATATATCATTTACACGTCATAATCCCCTTAGTATTTGCAAAGCATATTCCTCGTGAATGCTAGGTTTTGAAAATAGTACTTTGTTCATAATTTTCTTGTTACCATCAGAAATCATAAAGTTTCAGCAAGTCCCAGACTTCTGTATTTCAGTGTTGTATTTATTGCTTTAAAAGAGGACATTCATGTCCTTTTCCTTCTCTTTATACCATGTTTACAGGCAGTAACGTCAGTAAAAGTGAAATTAGACAAATGTTTTTAATTTTCCTAATGACTTGGGAATCTAAGTAAAGTGAACTGAAAGGGTTTTATGATAACATCCAAGATCAGTTCCTTTAAAAGGTAATACTGTGCTGTTGAGTTTAGAATTGGTGGTTGCATCACCAGTTAACAAGGCAACCTGTAATCACTACTGCATAACCAGTTTGTTAGGTCAGGCAAACTAGAAAATGAAGCTAAAATTGCTCATTAATAAAAAAAGGTAACATTTTTATCAATTGCCACTTCCTAGATATAATACATTTATTTTACTGTGAAACTGGTAGAAACTGGTTGTCTGTAATTTACTAATTTACAATAGTTTATAACAAACCATACACATGCATGTTCAGACTTTCCGTAAGGTGTGAGATAGAAGACTCCTTGTATAAAGCACACTTTGTTATGCCTCCCTCAACCCTCTAAAATTAGAGTGAGGCCAAACTTGCACAAATGTATTCCCTTTTTTATTCATATATATATATATATATATATATATATATATATATATATATATATATATATATATATATATATATATATATATATTATATATATATATATATATATATATATATATATATATATATATATTATATATATATATATATATATATATATTATATATATATATATATATATATATATATATATATATATATATATATATATATATATATATATATATTATATATATATATATTATATATATATATATATATATATATATATATATATATATATATATATATATATATATATATATATATATATTGATCTTTTATATTTGTATCTTCAGTACATGTAATGCAAATTATTGAGGCCACTTGACAATCCCTAATGTCTTTAATATTTTAAAGGGTAATAGCATTCGTGAAACATCAAGATGCAGTTGTTTATAATTTCTCATGCTTAAGGAGTGACTAGGTATATACTGTATTTAGCACCAGTAAGTATACTGTTTTGACTGGTTAGTGCATATTCCAAGATAATGAGATTTTTACATAAGTTAGTGGCAGATATTCATATCTAGGCTTCTTACAGATCAGAATGAATAGGTAAGAATCAGTAAAAAAAAAGAAAAAAAAGAAGAAGAAGAAGAAGAAGAAGAAGAAGAAGCTTTACTCATACTACTCAAATACCTCAGATCATAATATAGAATTATTTAACCAGAAAAACAACCTGGAAACCTGAAAAATTATTCCATACAAATAAAAGAAAGAGTAAGGAAGGAAAAATAAGGCAAACTGTAGTACACATTCCTGTTTGTTGACAATCTTTACTCAGTTTAGTTAGAAAATGACATACAAACAATAACTGACTGTTCCTTTGCAAATCTAAGTGAAGTGAACTGATTCTTCAGTGCTCTCAGCTTTCCTAGGAACTGAAGGACATGAGAGAAATATGTTGTTATATTAAAAGTTTACATTGAAAATGCATCCATCACTGTAGAAGATTTTAGATATCAATTTAAGTAAGTAAATTTGATAGTCAACAATTATTTATACATCAACTGAAAACATTTTTTGATCACCCAGCCACTATTTTATCACATTTGTCTAATATTTTCAGTCAAGTATATATATAAATAGACCTTGTTTTAGAATAACATGTATACCATAATTACACTCCATTTTACTATTTTTTCTAAGAACACCACACTGAAGTGCAGCAATTTGGGTCATGACAAGTGTTTTATTATAATTGCTGTTACCTAAACTACATATTTGTTGCTTCATATATACTGGGCACTCTCTTTATTTGTTTTATTTGCCAAGTCTTTTCAAGTATACCACATGAAATTGCAAGAACTCAGTTGTAATGATATGATCTAGGGAATGTTCTATCATCAGGCCTTTGTTCCAGGTGAAGGCCAGATGGCATTGCCATCCCTTTCCATGGTTCTTATCATAGTTTTGTTATGAAAGAATATTTATTTGGACCTTTATGTTGCAAGTGTTTGGTTTCATATAAGCATGGTATGTTTGAAAAGGTTTGTAATTAAAAACAAGTTGAAAAGAACAAGTTGAAGTTAGCACTATATCCAGGAGTAGGACCTTGACCTTGATGTGAAAATATAGTGCAAATGCATCTGGTGCAAAGAGTCCTACTCAAAGGGAAGCAAAAAATAAAAAAACGATACTTTTCTATGAGCTGCACGTAATTAAGTACAAAGAATCATAGGGTAATTCCCCATAGACTCAATTATATGAAGAATATCCCCCAACCTTTATTTGAAATCGAAAAATACTTGGATCTATAAAAAAAAAACTTGATGCTGATTAACAGTAATGATTAGAATAGGAGTAAATATAATAAAGTGTATATATGGCATTGCAGAGGACCTCCCCCATTCCCTTGCTCATTGTTGTCATGGGGGGCTTAGGAGACGGAGGCTGAGGCCCAATGTAGGGGACCACAGCTGCTTTGGACGTCAGCCCTCGTCCCTACTAATTCTGTAGGGTCTTTTGTTCACTGCTTTCCTGTTTTCTCTTTTTAACCCCCATCTTCTGAACACTTATGTTAATCGTTAACTCATGTTTACCCTTTTTGCCACAATACTTTATTATAGTGCTATATGACCTTTGATGTTCATTACATTTTGTTGTTTTGACCATCAACCATTATAGTAATGACTGGAATGTAATAAGAGTAAATGTAATAATATATATATGGATACATATATATATGTGTGTGTGTGTGTGTGTGTGTGTGTGTGTGTGTGTGTGTGTGTGTGTGTGTGTGTGTGTGTGTGTGTGTGTGTGTGTGTGTGTGTGTGTGTGTGTGTGTGTGTGTAATATTTATAAAGCATTACAGAGAACTTTGGGAGGTAATATGAACCCTTATATTATATATAATGATCGGTAATCAGTCACGGCATATGAATTCTTGTTCATAATCACGAGGAAGTCTGGCCGACCACCTTGCATCCTCTCAATATGTAATTTGTGTCTCAGTAGGGCTCAGTAACTGAAGCATAGACACCTGCTGGATGCTTCACAGCCCAGTTGGTGAAGCTAAGGTCTTAGATATTTTTGTAGGGCCTCTATTCGGCATTGCAATTCACCGATCCTGTTCACGCCATTGCTTGGAATACTGGGAGAAGAGTGTCCCTCCACAAATACTCTTTTGTTGGAGAGACACTGGCAATTTCCTTATAAGACAGCTCATCCTCGTACTGAGTAATTAGCCTGCCGGATATTTCGCTTCCTTTGTATTCAGATACGACAGATCCCAGCCAATGTATTTTATTATATAAGTTGAATAAGTCCTGCCAATTTCTACAGGAAGAACACATTTCGTCTTTCAGAAGCAATAAGGGCACTGGAAGAAGAAATGTCCGTCCTACAGAAGTCATTCCCGTGTAGTCAGGACATCCGGTACGAAATAGAACTTGTCTGGAACATGTCAGAAGTCGACCACGCCGGACACCCACAGTCGACGTGTTCTTGGCTCGTGATGCTTCATTAGTAAATTACAATATATATATATATATATATATATATATATATATATATATATATATATATATATATATATATATATGTATATATATATATATGTATATATATATATATATATATATATATATATATATACATATATATATATATATATATATATATATATATATATATATATATATATATATATATATATTCGAAGAACTGTCCTTGATTCAGCCAGCTTAAGTGTTTGAGTCTGAATGTCTCCTGAACACTCTTGCTGGAAAAAAAGAATTATCGCCAGGCAAGGATCATAAAGAGAATCTTTCCGCATGCAACATGAAGAATCTCCCCCCCCCCCCACACACACACACATGGCAGTACAGTTGAGGGACACATTCCATTTATGAAACGAGAATTAATGCAAGCGAAAGATTGAATACATAAACTCTGACATGAAACTTGACCAACTTTACTCTTCAACTTAGAACTCCCATTCTTATTTTCACATTGATTGCCTTCCGTTGAAACTTTTTGCGCTTGTTACTACCCGAAGAACCGATGATCCATGAACTCAAACTTAGAGTGTCTCTGAAGAACGAGATCTATAATTTCCCAGGGCTTTCAATGCGAAATTTAATTAAATAGTTTATGGATGTTTCGCTCAATCAGCTACCCATAAAACCCCTTTAATAATAACCAGTAATGGAATGAAGGGGTGGGGGTGGGGGGAGACAGACGGCTGATATCATATTGGTTGTGAAAATAATTAAAGTTAGGTTGGTTGAAATGAAATTATAAATCGTATATTAGCGGAACAGGAAGGCTGGTTAGCCCGAGTGAGGTTCTCTTTTTTATTAAAGGTGGAGCTGGCTTTCCCGACAGCGTTTTTTCCTCGCTTTAGGAGTTTACATTCACTATGCCTTTCAGACTCACGGTCTGTATAATTTTTAGGTCGTGTAGAACGAGGATTTGTAGGGTATGAAAGTTAACTCTTTGACGACATAGTATAGTATGCTTAGATAATAACCTCGGTATATATTTCATTATTTGAAAAGGAAGGAAAAAAGTATGCCCCACCCAGACATGAAAAAAGAATAAAATGCCACCCAAAGCAGCCAATTAAGATAACAAAGAAACATGTTTTATAAATATTCTATTTGATCAAAATCTAATTATTGCACAAATACATCTTCTATGAAGAAAAGCAGCACAAAAAACATTAACATCCAGCATCCCTGTAATATTTGCCACGAAACAAGCGAGCGTCGTCTTGCGCAATCTCTATTTACATTTCGAGTTTCAATTCATTTTACATGTTTTTCTTAGACTGCGAAGGGGATTTGAGTCACGTGGCAGCCGATAAACCTTGCCGAGGCGTAGGAAAAGTGAGTAAACCACGCAGAATAAGCTGTCGTTTTCTCGTTTCGGTAAAATAGTTTTTTGTAAGGAGCAGCGTCGGGAAAGGGAAGGGTTGAACACGGCAAAAAACCCACGTGTGTTTTAAGCGACGATTTTAGGCAACGAGAACACCCTTAGTTCACCCTGT